GATTATCTTAGATTTAATCATTTTTATGAATCTATTTCAGCCAAATCCGATCGGCATTTTCCATAAGGAGTCTCACTTGATATGTTTATGTAGTATTTGGAAAAAGACACAAAAAAAAGTTACTTCAGCGTGATGCCCCTTTAAGTGTGGTTTATAAATACTTTAGAAAGTGACAGCAAGTATGTAAGCTGGTTTAAGGTTAATGGTAACGTCTGCCATTGTGATGAAGATTTGCTGTTTGGTATATTGTATATACCACCTGAAAATTCTAAATACCATTTAGGTGATCCATATTCGGAACTTGAAAATGAGTACCTACATTTCTCAACCAATAGTAATTATAATGACTTTTAGGCGATTTTAATGCACGAACATCAAAGGCAAATGATTTTATAGATGTACATGAAATAGAAAACAATGATGACTTTACAGCTGAGATTCTTAATGACGCACAGAATACTAGTGTTTTTAATGAATTTACTTTCCCAAAATATAGATCAAATTGTGATGATAAAAAGAATAATTCCGGGAACCGACTCCTAGATTTTTGTAAGTACAATGTCCAATTTTATTAACTTTACAATTTAATAACATTTTAAACACCTGTGTAACAAATAAACAAACCCCACAATCTGAAGAAAGAATTACCCAATGGAAAACAGAGAAAACACATGATTACATTAATAATATTGATGATGATTTAGTAAAAGATATTACTGATATGATTGACAATTGTACAGATCCATATGAATTGAATGTTGACGAACTTGTTGATAATTGTAGTAAGATTTTATTACATGCTGCTAAAAAACACTTGGCACAAAACCCTATACTGTTAATAAGCGTGAGAAGTCAGTCGCCCTCAAGAAACCTTGGTTTGATTTTAATTGTCGAAATGCTAGAAAAAAAATATCGCTTATGTAAAGGACAGTATAGACGGCATAGAAACGAGTATTTTCACAATAAATATAAAGAATCTGAAAAAGTTTATAAAAATATAATCGATAAAAGTATTAAAACGTTCAGACATGATATCAGAAAAAAAATGAAGGTAATGAAAAGTAAAAATCCAAGGGATTATTGGAAGCTATTGAAATTTGGTGGAGAAAGAAAACCAAAACGAACAATACCTATAGACGAATTTCTAAAACCTTAATACATGTGATGATGATGATGAAAACGGTACTGATGTGCCTGTGGATATTTTTAATCCCATTAAGGAGTTTTTAAACTGTGATATAACAAAGGATGAGATAAAAAAAAAAAAAAAA